TTCTATCATTGGCACACTCTGCCCAATTTAAAAAATGTTTTTCATTTACGTACAGTAAATGAAACAGTGTACGTTCTGTGCCAAGTGTATAGAGTTATGTCACCAGAAGGATCAAAATGCAGGACTGTTCTATCACCCCTAAAGTCCCCTCGTGCTAGCCCTACTCTGCAGCCAGTGAGGGGAATGAAATGGGCCATTCATGCTAAGCTCACCAGAGCGTTCAATCCAGACCACAGAGATGTAGGTAGGGTTTTGCCTTCAGACTGTATGATGGATGCTCTGGGGGCCTCTCCTGCCTGGCTCAGGCTCTGCCATCTTCCGTGGCCGCCTGACCCCTGGCTCCAGCCCTGGCCAGGGATTGGTTCAGGCGACCCCTGCCCCCAGCAGCTCACATGCCTTTGACCCACAGGACATTGTGACGGAGAGCAACAAATTCGACCTGGTGGGCTTCATCCCTTTATTGCGAGAGAGGATTTACTCTAACAACCAGTACGCCCGGCAGTTCATCATCTCCTGGGTAAGATCTGACCCCTTGACACTCTTTCTTCAGACGTAACGAGCCTCTGTTTGAGTAAAGTCAGCTTTCTGTCATCCCTGGGCATTTCCTGTGGCTGCAGAGATGCCTCATTGTTATCCGGCTAGGAATCAGTGACACTTATTCAGCTCTGCCCCCAAAGCCCATCATTTTTGAAAGCATATAGTTCTTTCCTTGTCCTCAAAATCACCCAGATTCCTCCTTGAAGCCAACAGTACTCCTTCCAGCTGTCACACCTCTTCTAATCTTGCCTGCCTTTCCCATGCATTCCCCCCTCCCCTGGGCATCTGAACTGCCTTGGGGCCCTGCACATTGAACAGAAAGAACAGCTGCTTGCACCCTCTCCCCTGTGGGTCCCCTCAATTCCCTGAAAAGCTGTCTCAGCAGCGCCCCTCCTCACTGGCCAGTCCCAGAGGATGGGTGAGGAGATGCAGGTTCTTGGGCTGGTGACTTTCCCTGCTGGTTTCTTCCCTGGGTCAGATCCTGGTTCTGGAGTCTGTGCCAGACATTAACCTGCTGGATTATTTGCCGGAGATCCTGGATGGACTCTTCCAAATCCTGGGCGACAACGGCAAAGAGATTCGGAAAATGTGAGTGAGCAGGGAGGGGCAGGTTGCCAAAGCCCTCAGTGCATATGTATACCCCATATCCAACAGACAGGCAGCAGCGGGAGAAGACAAAATTCACTCTCTTCCTCCTGATTGGTGTGCTTCCCACTTTGAGGAGCTGAGAGCTCATCCATCCCCGGCCTCTGAGGAATTTCCATCTGACAAGTGTATCTCATAAAATGTGATTCCCCCCTCTGGGTGGGTGACCCAGAGCAGAAGTGGCACTGGTGGAGGCTCCTCCAGCCCTGGCTGGCGTGTGCTATTTCCCTTCTCCTCTGCTCATTGGTAGGTGTGAGGTGGTCCTTGGAGAATTCTTGAAAGAAATTAAGAAGAACCCCTCCAGTGTTAAGTTTGCTGAGATGGCTAACATCCTGGTGATCCACTGCCAGACCACGGGTGAGTGTGTCAAGGCTCCAAGGCCACCACCCTCCTTAGAAGCACCTTCTCTCTCACCATCTCGGAGAGAGTCTTTGTGGGAATGTGAATCAATGTGACAGTGGATCCTGGAACGGTGGGTCCCTGTGGGATTCCGGTTCTCTGCCAACATGGAGGCCCTTTCACTTGGTATGACCTTAGAGTGAGATCTGGAGGCCTTCTTGCTGTCAAGCTTGGCATTAGCACTGTGAACTGAAATGCTTGGAGGTTGGGGTCATGTATCTGTTTGCTTCTGTTGAGTATCAAACCACCACAAAATATAATTGCTTCACACAGCAGTCACTTGTCATTGTCCTGGGTCTGCAGATCATCTGGGTGGCCCTACTCACTAGGGCCAGGCTGGGCTGGGCCAGACCATGTGCCTACAGTCAATTGGAGGGCCAGCTGAGGCTGGGCTGGGTTGTCCATGATGGTGTCACTCATGTCTGGCAATTGGCCAGCTATCACCTGGGGCAACAGGAATGGTCGTTCCAGGTGTTTCCTCATCCAGTGGGCCAGCCAGGTGCATTCATGTAGCATCAGCGGATTCCAAAAGGCATGGTAGACTTGAGCAAGGCCTCTTAAAGCCTAGGCTGAACCAGGCACACCACCATTGTTACTAACTTACCTTGGCCAAAGTAGTAAAACCAACCCAGATAGCAGGAGTGGGGAAATAAACTCCACCTCTTGATGAGAAGAGCTGCAGAGCCCCATTGTGGGGGCATGGACCCAGGGGTGAGTAGAGAGTTGTGGCTGCTTTTACAGTCTGCCGAAAGATTTCAGTTCCATGTCAACCTGATACTTGTATGTACCTTTGGAAGGAAGAAGCAAGGGTGAGAGAGCATAGGTGAGGGTCGAAGCCCTGCATGCCCTCAGGTCCTCTCTAGTTCTCCAGTCCCATCTGTGGGCATGGTCAGAGGGAGGGAGCACTCCGGCTGATCCTTCTGGAACCAGCCAATTCCTCTTCCAGATGACCTGATCCAGCTGACAGCTATGTGCTGGATGCGGGAGTTCATCCAGCTGGCCGGCCGGGTGATGCTGCCCTACTCTTCTGGGATCCTGACCGCCGTCCTGCCCTGCCTGGCCTACGATGATCGCAAGAAAAGTATCCTTCACTCTGGAGAAAGGAAACAAGAGCAGCCCCAAATGGGGCCATGAAGTTACAAGACCTTGGAGTGGGGGTGAGGGCTCCCTTAGGATTTATCACACCTCCAGATAGCCCCTGGCATCAAGGCAGCAAGAAATGGAGTTGAACATGGACAGGGAGAGCCAGGGCAGCTCCAGGGATGCTGCCTTTCCCAGACCTCACTTGATTATTTACAGTTCTGGAGCAGCTCCCAGGTCCCAAGATTCCAACTCTCTGAGCTCTCACTGCCTCACCTGGGTGGTGGACATCCTGTTGTTGGGAGGTCCATCAGGAAGGGGCCTTATGAGGAGATATTTTGTGGGGACACCAGTGTGGCAAGGAGAATGGGAACTCAGTTCAGCCTGCCTATCTGCCCGCTAACATACCCCTGGGTCAGGCTGCTCCTTACATCAGTGGACTCAGGCATCAAGGAGGTGGCCAATGTGTGCAACCAGAGCCTAATGAAGCTGGTCACCCCTGAGGATGACGAACCCGACGAGCCAAAGCCAGTGGTGCAGAAGCAGGCAGAGCCCAACCCCGACAACTCCTTGGCAAAGCAGGAGGGGACAGCCAGTGGTAAGTGGGCTCTGCCTCCCGCCCCTCACCGTCCAGAGAGGGCCACTGGGAACCAGAGGTTGTAGATCTTAACTTGCGGCCTCACTTAACCAGCCAAGGCTGCTTTCCATGTCTTAACTCCTAGTTCTGGTAACAGCCCAGTGAAGGAGGAACTGCTATCTTCATTCTGTAATCAGCTCAGGGAAGGTAAGTAACACCAGCAGAATCTGACGATCTGGCAGCTACTAAGTGGCAGAGGCGGGATTTGAACCATGGCCGTCTGCCTCAGAACCCATAGCTCTTAACTCTTACTGCCTCAAAGACCATTAATGCTTTTCTTAATGTTTTTCTGGGTCTAGCTACAGTCAACATAGAAGGGTTTGGAGCATGGCAGGAGTACAGGCTGCAGGATTCACTTGAGTCTTGGCTGCAGGGTTCACTTGACATCCAGCGATTCACAAGCTGGCTGCCTTTGCTGTGCCAGTCATTCTCAGGGTGAGGGGGTTAATAAAGCTCCAGCTCTGGTTTATTTAGTTCTTGGGAATTCCATTGCTCTCCTTTCAAACTCCTTTATAATTAATGTCTTGTTTATCTGTAATGTGAATAAACCACTTTTATTATTAATTGGAGCCTGGAGTTTGACTCTCTAAATGTTACCTAGAACTCTGACTTTTTTAATCTCGTGGTCCTCTATCTTCACTGAGAGGTCACTGATCAGCTCTAGGGTGACGTTCTTCTTTGCAGAATCAGCCGAAGAGTCAATTGACGCAGATGCTAGTGAAATCTTTAAGGCCAACAGACTGAGGTCTGGCCCCCAGAAGCCAAAAGAATTTCTAAAGCATTTTCTCCCCTTGCGTTTCTCAGGCTTCTTTTGAATATCTGAGCGGAATGTCAGGCACATGTGCCCTATGGGCCTCCTCCCATGGATTTGGTCTGTAGAATAAGCAGCATTCCATACAGGACCATCTCAGGTGTCAGGTTACAGCAGTGCTAATGCCACTGTGAGCTGAAGCAGCAAAACAGCTGGGGGCAGAACACTTCTCAGCTGGAGCATTGGTGGTTCAGTGGTAGAATTCTCGCCTGCCACGCGGGAGGCCCGGGTTCGATTCTCGGCCAATGCAGCTCTGTTAACCTTTTAGACAATCTTCCTAAGCATTCTTGAAACAGCTCCCAGCTCAGGAGAATCTTATCCTAAATCAGGATACATTCAGGCAGCTTGGCTCCAGATTTTACTGCCTCATAAACAGCACTTCAGCAGATGCAAAGCTCACTTTATAGTAGTTCCCAGAGATGGCAGCAGCTGGTTTTGGGGCTCCACATCCACTCCAGACTCGCTCAGCTTGTAATTAACCAGCATTTTACCAAGGTGCCAGGAGAAGGTGCCAGCAAGCCAAGAGAGTCAGGATTTAGCTATTCAGTCCACAGGTTCATCCAGCCTCCTGCTTACTCTTACTCTGCTCCTCTCTTCCATCCTGGCGAAGGCAGGAACCACCTGCCTGGTCTCGCTGAACTACAGCCCCTCTCCTTGATGCAGCCAGCGTTGTGCATCCCACAGCACACCGCATTGTCCACTGCACACCACCAGGCAAGCCCCACAGTGAGGCCTGTTAGCCAGGCCCTCTGAGCACACACTCATACACCTGCACATGCATGTGCCCCACCCTCACCTCTCACCACAGGGCTCCAGTTGAGCCAGGCCCTCGTTTGTGCCATGCTGCTCCCAGCCCCCTTCACTTGCTCTGGCTCCTGCTCTGCCCTGCCCCCTTGAGGGGTCCACAAGTCCTTTCTGTGACTCTTAGTTACTGGGCGCTCGATGCATCCTCCCCGTCCCTGATTGTCTCAGGTGTCACAGCCTAGATTCTGCACTCAGAACTCTGCCTGTGAGTCCTGGCCCTGCTAACTTCCTCTCTGTGGCCCTTAGACAAGCCACTTGGCCTTTCTAAGCCTCGGGTTCCTTACTTGTTAAATAATGAAACAATGATAATACCAGACCTGTAGTGTGGTTGTGAATTCTGAAGATTTTTGCATGTGAAGCTCTTAACACATAGCACAGGTCAAACACTCTAAAGAACAGGTGTTTCAGTGTCAGCTGTTTTAATTCATGTTTATAATGAGACCCTCTACTTAGCAAGGTTGTCAGGGGCAGGGCTTTCACTCTTTTGTCTTTTAGCTTCAGCACTGCCCAGGTAGTAATGGATCCCCTGTGGGTCCTAAATGAGGGATCATAGAGGGTCAGGGATGGAAGTTCATGTGCTGAGTGAGGACCAGAGCTATAAATATGGTTTCTGGTGGAGGGCTAGTGACCGCCTTTGGTGAGCATGTAATGGAATCCACCCATTTGCAGAGCTTTTGACGGGACTGCACGTATCAGCACCCTCTCTGGATACTGCAGATGCAAGTGAATCAGACCCAGATGCTGCCTGCAAGGAGCTCAGGGACAGATCTGCAGATGAGTGATCATGTGATATCAGGCATGGTCACGGAGCACTGGGGGCACTGGGCTGGGCTTAGTGAAAGTTATTTGACCTGGATCTTTTCTTTCTCCTTCACTTCAGCTCTCCCTAAGCCCACCCCCACTTTTCACTCTGGTTATAAAGGAAATACACATTCTCTGGAGAGATTTAGGGGAAAATGGAGACATTCCTACTGAGAGAAGGCAGAGAGTAAACAAGTTAAATATATTATCTGGCAAATACATTTGGCTGTGTGTATCAAAAACCTTAAACATTTAAGAATTTATTCCTAGGAAATAAATATAGATGTGGGTCAGGTTATTCATCTTAAACCCCTAGCAAATGTTAGCTCATTTATTGTCATAACAAGCCTCTGATGCAGGCACTGGTCTTAGTCCATTATAAAGGTGAGGAGATGGAGGCCAAGGCAAGTGACCTGTTCAAGGTCACACAGCAAGTAATTAGGGGAGTCAGGCCCAGGGGCTCCCAAATCTGGAAATTGATACAAAAGGACAACCAAAGATGCTCGGCTTGACTGGGAATCCCAGAATTGCAAAGTAAAACAATGTGTCATTTTTACTCATTTTACTTAAAATATTACTAATATCTCCCATGTGAGGCTTTAGGGGAATGACTACTCCTTGTTCCTGAAGTGTATGTATATTTTTGAAGTGCATATGTACCGGCTGACCTTCCTAAAGGGCAGCTTGGCAGTATCTGTTAAAGTAGCAATTGTCTGACCCTCCCACTCAGCAGCCCCTGTATTTGGGATCCTGGAGAAGGGCCCACTCTGGTGTGTAAGGAAGCATGGGAGAGATATAAGAGTGAAAATTAGGAAACAATCAAAATTAATTTGAAGCCAGTTTCTAACATCATATCGTTTCATCTATAAATGAATGTGTTTCTACAAGACAAGAGGGAGAGAGGCCATCAGCTGCACGGAGCCCCAGCTGCAGTTCCCGGCTGGCCCGCCCAGGCTTCCCCGCCTGCCCTCCTCACCTTTCCCCAGGCCTGTTGCAGTGGACACTGGGCTGGTCAGGAGGACCAGCTGGTGCCCACAGCTTCCCCTGGTCCCTCCGAGCTGTGCCTTGTCCCCAAGAGGCCCTCTGGGACTAGAGAGGACAGGTGACAGCTGAGAGCTTTTCTGTTCAACGTGGAACTCCAGGCCCTCTTTACTGGGGGACTGAGGGAACATCCATGGTCCACACTTGAAACAGCACTGCTTGAAGCACAGCAGGATGTAAAAAAAAGCAAGTTGCAGAAGATATACTCTGATCCTATTTATGTTTATGTTTACAAAACAAACTACGGACCGAATCCAAATTTTGCCAGTTTTTCCACTCTATCCTTTGTTGAATCTGGGACCCCTCAGTTGCATTTAGTTGTCCCATCTCCTTAGTCCCTTCCAATCTGTGACAGTTCCTCAGTCTCTCCATATTTTCTCCCATTCCATAGGTTGTCTTTTTGTTTTGCTTACGGTTTCCTATGCTGTGCCAAAGCTTATAAGTTTAATTAGGTCCCATTTGTTTATTTCTGCTTTTATTTCTATTGCCTGGGTAAACTGCCCTAGGAGAACATTGCTAAGATTTATTTCAGATAATGTTTTGCCTATGTTTTCTTCTAAGAGGTTTATAGTGTCTTCTCTTATGGTTAAACCTTTAAGCCATTTTGAGTTTATTTTTGTGTATGGTGTGAGGGAGTGTTGTAACTTCATTGATTTACATGCAGCTGTCCAGTTATCCCAACACCATTTGCTGAAGAGATTGTCTTTCCTCCAGTATATGTTCTTGCCTCCTTTGTCAAAGATTAATTGACCAAAAGTTTGTGGGTTTATTCCTGGGCTCTCCTGTTCTGTTCCATTGAGCCATATGTCTGTTTTTGTACCAATACCATGCTGTTTTGATTACTGTAGCTCTGTAGTATTATCTGAAGTCTGGAAGGGTTATTCCTCCAGCTTCATTCTTTTTCTTCAGTATTGCTTTGGCAATTCTGGTTCTTTTGTGATTCCATATGAATTGTAGGATTATTTGTTCTAGTTCTGTGAAAAAAGTCCTGGGTAATTTAATAGGAATGGCATTAAATCTGTAGATTGCTTTGGGTAGTATGGCCATTTTAACAATATTAATTCTTCCAATCCAAGCCATGGGATATCTTTCCATTTCTTTAAGTCATCTTTAATTTCCTTAGTCAATGTTTTATATTCTCCTTATATGTCTTTCACTTCCTTGATTAGATTCATTCTTAGGTATTTTATTACTTTGGGTACTATTTTAAAGGGTATTGTTTCTTTATTTTCCTTTTCTGCTATTTCATTATTAATGCAAAGAAATGCAATGATTTCTGAATGTCTGTGTCTTCTATCCTGCTACCTTGCCAAGTTCTTTTATCAGCTCTAGTAATTTTTGTGTGGAGCCTTTAAGGTTTTCTATATATAGTATCATGTCATCCATATATAATAACAATTTTACCTCTTCTCTTCCGATTTGAATCCCTTTTATTTCTTTTTTTGTCTAATTGCTATGGCTAGGACTTCCAATACTATATTGAATAGAAGTGGTTAGAGTGGGCATCGTTGTCTTGTTCCAGATTTCAGCAAGAAGTCTTTCAACTTTTCTGTGTTGAGTATTATGCTGGCTGTAAGTTTGTTGTATTTTTTTAATTTAAGAAAATAGCAATTACACCCTATTTCCTGTAGCCCTCAGCAACCTCTGATCTACTTTTTGCCTCTATAGATCTGCCTATTCTAGACATTTCATATAAATGGGATAAAATATGTGATCCTTTGTGACTGGTTTCTTTCATTTTGCATGTTTTCAAGGTTCATCCATGTTGTAGTGTGATCAGTACTCCAGCCCTTTTTGTTGCCAAATAATAGTCCATTGCATGGCTATAACACATTTTGTTTATCTATTATTAATTATCAGTTGATAGACATTTGGATTGTTTCTACTTTTAGTTGTTGTGAATAGTCCTACTACGAACCTGTTGTGCAAGTTTTGGTGTGGACATAAGTTTTCATTTGTCTTTAGTTTATACCTCATCGTGGACTATGGGTCATATGGTAACTAATAGTGTTAAGCCTTTTGAGGAACTTCCAGGCTGTTTTCCAAAGCAGTTGCTCCATTTCACATTCCCACCAGCAATGTATGAGGGTTCAGTTTCTCCACATCCTCACCATCGTTTGTTACTAATATCTGTGTTTTTTATTTTAGCCACCTAGTGGGTGTGAAATGGTATCTTGTTCCAGTTTTGATTTACATTCCCCTGATGGTTAATGATGTTGAGTGTTCTAGAAGTCATTTTTAACATCCCTTGCCCTTGAGCCAACAGTCCCTTCTCTGATTTCCCAGATGTGTTCAGCACTGGTGACTCCCTCCTTATGAGGTCACTGTGCCTAAAAACTTACAAGCATGGGTACCATCCAAACGCTTTGGGGAGTGAGTAGGCATTGGGTCCTCAGGACTCCAGAGCCATGTCTCTTTCCAAGAGATAGAATCAGGGTTTTGGGGACTAGCAGGTCTTTTGTGACAGGAATCTTGTTCATTCAAAAGACCCCAAGAGCCTTATTCATGAGGCCTTGTTCCTCTTACTCTCCCTAGGAGGGCCCGATGGTTCGTGTGACTCCAGCTTCAGTAGCGGCATCAGTGTCTTCACTCCAGCCAGGTAAGTGCTTTGTTCTAGCCAGAGGTGTTTGTGGGAAGTGAGCAGCCTAGAGCTTTGCTGGGTGTAGAAGACTGCAGTGAAGCTTTGTGGCAGAGTCTTGGGGCCACTACTTATAGGACACAGAAGGTACATAGTGAGGGAGTTTGAAAGATATTAAGCAAGCCCAACCCACCCGGTTCTGATGGGCAGGTAGTCTCTTAGGAAGGATTAGAAGCTGTTAGAGGTCAGTAAATACAAGTTGTAAGAATGTAATGCATGGTGATTACAGGAAGATACTTGCAGATTGCTTTTCGCAACCCCTTTTTGCTCATCCAGAATAACGTGGGACAGATGAGACTGACCATGAAGGGCTGTTTGAGGACCGTCCAGAGCACAGGCAGTAATTAATTGAATCTGAGAGTGCATATACTGGGCTGCAGGAACTGTCCTCCTGGGCGTCCAGGTCGGCTGTAACAGCGCAGCCTTCCACGTGGGGGCAGTGCAGTCTCAGCAGCAAGATAATCCCTTCTGTACCCTGCAGAATGATGGCATTCCCCTAAGGAAGGAATTATCAGCATTTTGTCCCTGTATGAGGCCCCTGGACTTGCCCCATGTCACTATTTCCTTGGTTGGAATTGGCCATGGGGCTGGAATAAGTGGAGGTTCTCCTATAGGATTTTTCTTGACTCTGAAGTCAACATTAAACCTGGGCACTGGGGGAACTGGTCACTCATGAAGAGAAGATATACATTCAACTCCAGCAGGCTCTGTTCTCCCCAGACCCTTAGAATCTTTTCTCCTTTTATATCATTTTTTTTTAATTTAGTTTTATCTCTAAGGACCCATGGGTGTTTTCAAAGTATTCAAGTACTGATTATAAATATGGACTGTTCCTAAGACCTCTCCCAAATTGTTTCAGCAAGCCAGTAAACATTATTCATTTATTCATTTTTAGTTAATTGTCACACATGTCCAGAGCACCTGCCTATGTTCAGCCCTACAGGTTCCAAGATAAAGATACAGCCCCTGAATATGGTCCCTGACCTTGGGGTTCTTTCTCTATCGGGGAGGCAGAGAAGTAGGCAGGAAGTGACCAGAAACGGTAGTGATTGTTGTGCTGTGGTGCTTAGAGGATGTTGGGGGCAGATGGTGCCCCAGCTGAGGCTCTAGGGAACGGTGGCTGACAATGAGGAACACTGGGAGAGTGCTTCCTAGGCCCGGCTGTACTCAATGCTTTGTGTCACACCATTAGGTTTTGCTGATGTTTAATCCCATGGGGTCAGTAGTAGTATTATGTCCACTGTAGGGCTGAGGAGGGACAGGAGGCCAGGGCTGCTGTGTAGAGAATGGATTGAGGACTCGGGTGGGTGCAGATTAGTTAGGGGGCCACCACTGCCATCCCAGTCAGAAGGGATGCAGGCTCAATCTGAAGAGGTGGCAGAATGGAGGAAGCTGATAGATTTGAGATATTTTGAAGGTAGAATTCCCGATGGAGGGGATGGAATGAGAGGAAGGAAATGAGGGAAAGAATTTCTGGATTTGAGGCTTGAGCCAATCAGGATACCCTGGTATGTCACAGTCTGGAGCAGAAGGAGGAACAGGTGTGTGAGTGGGCCCATCCAGAGCTGTGTTTGAGGTGACTCGGAGCCTCCCCCAAGAGCGATTAAGAATATTGGATTCCGGAACTCGGTGGGGAGGTCTGGATGGAGATGCAGGGAGATTGGCTTGTCCTGCAGAGGAATCTGCTTTTGTTCTGAAAGCCCTGGGAGTTGAGGGGAGCAGACCTGAGATTTAGAAGGCACTCTGGCAGTGCTGGGAAGGGTAGATGAGGGAGGGGGACAAAACTGTCAGCGGAAAGGCCTGTTGCAGACTTGTCACTAATCCAGGCTGCAGGGGATCATCGTGCTCCCCAGGGGTGGCAGTGGTGGGGTGGGGGAGGTCTGGGAGGAACAGAGATTGGACATAACTGACCACCTGGGAGGTGGGCAGGACTCCGCTGCCTCACTTGGAAGACGGCGATCCCAGATTCGCTGGGACCGGTTTAAAGATTGCCTTGGTTCTTGTGCTATGGCCGGGAACCACCTGGCTGGAACCAGTGTGTTGGTATCTACCTGTCATTCAGAAGCAAACGTGGATCCTACCCTTTGAAATTAAAAAAAACTATCGATAACAAATTATCCAGTGCTTTCTGTTTCCCTCAGACAGACATTTCTTCGTGGTAGCTGCCAGTTTGAGTCACTAGCTATGCTGGAAAGGAGGGTGGCCTTCAGAGTTGCAAACCCAAAGCTGAGGCCCTTGACCCCACCCCCTATCCATGGGAGAAGGCAGCTAAGACAGTAGGGTGGGGTACTTCTGCCAGAGGGAGACTGAGCTTGGGCAAGATGGCATCTTTCTGGATCACCAAGAAACAAAACCCACCCTGAGACTTTCCGTGTATGCTGCTTGCCCAGGGCACTGTTTACAGGTGCCAGTTTCACTCAATTCAGACCAGCCAAGGGCAGCAGCCAGACTGGGGACCCCTCCCATGGCAGAGAAGCATCCCTGCCTGGCAGAACACAGCTAGTGAGGTGACACTCCTGAGCTTCTTAGTGGTCACTGACCCCTTGAGAATCTGATGAAAGCTCTGGGCCCTCTTTACACACAAAACTTGGAATATACTTTCAGGAGTTCAGGGATCTCCTCAAAGCCAATCCTTGCACCCCAGATATTTTTTTAATCGTTAAATCCTCACCTGAGCCTAAACACATGAAGACTAACTGACTAAACCCAAGAGTGTCAGCCTCTTCTCCCTCCCTCATCTCCCCTCTGTCCCAGGATGCTGGGAGAGCCACATGTGGCCCCAGGTGGACAGTAGCCACAGGGGAGAACCACCTGAATGAGCAGAGGTGGCGAGGTCACTGTAGTGAGGAGGGGCTCCAGTTAACGGAGCCTGGCTTCCTCCACCCTCCAGGAGCATGAGAAATGCACACAGAGTTGGAAACCAGACTCCCCAGGAAGGGGTGGGGAAAGGGATGGAGGAGCCATGCTTGCAGCTGAGGAAAGTGTTAAGGAAGAATAGCCTCCACCTCTTTCTCTCTCTGTCCCCTCCCTTCTCTCTCTCCCTGGCTCTGTCAGTCTTTGTCTGTCTGTCTGTCTAGTGCTGCTTGCATGTTCATCATCACTGTGAATCCTCTGAATCATGTCATCCCACTGCCTGGGCGCACATCCTGACTTCACTGCTCCTGGCTGAATGGCCCTGGGCAAGCAGCTTAACCTCTCTCTGCCTCAGTTTTCTCATCTGTAAACTGGGCATTATGGTTATACCCACCCTATAGGGATTTGGAACTTAAATAAGTGTGGTAAAAGCACAGAATGGTGCCTGGCCCACGGAAAGCACTTTACACATTTCAGTTACAGTTATTATTACAAGAACCTTGTCATTATCCCCATTTACAAATAAGGATATGGGCCAGAGAGGTTAACATCTTGCCCAGTCATTCAGCTAACTAGTGACCAACTTGGAATTCAGGCTAAGTCTATCTGACTCCCAGGCCCACAGATTTGGGCTTTGTTAAGCACAGTTGGGGAGTTGCAGAAGCTTTTTGAGTTGGCCTGTGACCTGACACAGGAGCCCTGGACAGGTGTTGCCATGTGCACAGGCTTCTACTCTGATGCCCTGGGCTTTGCTGAAGACCAGTGTCATGAGGAACATTCTGTACTGGTCTGTTGGTACAGCTGGCTGCATAAGATCTGGAAAGATCTAGAAATCAGTGCTTCCCAACTTTTAGCATCTGCTAATTGAAAAAAAGGTTGTAAAGGTCTTTTCTTAAAAGCAACTTTGAATTCAGTGACAATTCCTTTTTCAGTATTTACCTTTGTTCCAATCAGGTTAGAGCTGTAATATACGAGTGCCGTAAGGAGGAAGATGTTACAGAAATAAAGTGCTGCCTCCCAGAGAACCATTGGGGTTTATCGTGGTGTAGTAGTATCAGAGCACTATTCAATAAATCAATGTTTTAATAGCTGCAGTAGTGCCATGCATTTGGAAATTGTAGTACATATACGTGTAAGACCTGCATTATGAGATGCTTTTGGAGAAAATGCTTGGTGGAAATGGGGTTTTGCTGACATCTTGAAATAACTCAGAAGTCCCAAAGAGTGACTAGTCTAGACTTTTTGGAACCAGTGCAGAAATGTTTTAAACCATGAGTGAGCTCCATTCTGTTCTCTGGGTAAGGTGAGCCAGGGCGGAGGGTACACCGCCTCAGGCTCCTGAGCTGAGCATACAATGCTGCATGCCTGCTCTCGGAAGGGCTGGGTCCCAGAGTCCCGCTGCCCACAGGGTGTGCACGGAGCCCAGCATACAGCAGCTGGCCCCACCCAGTGGGACAGCTGAGAACTGCCCCCTCAGAGGTAGGCAGGATTGTGGATCCTCCCTTTCGCAGGCACTGAGATCAATCTCCCTAGTGCCCTGGGGTGTGCCTGCTCCCCATGGCCTTCACTTCCAGCCAGCCAAGGGAAGTGAGAGCCAGAGAGCACACCTCCAGCTGAGGGAGGGAGTTCTCCATGCCTCGTGGCCTTGGACAGATATGCGCATTGAAGGACAGGGTTGCTAGAACTGTGGAGACCCTTTCAGCCATGAAGTTCCGGTTGGTTGAAACTGTGAGTTAAGGAGCCCCGCTGGCCGAAGGACTGTCTGGCCTGGCATCTTGGGTTCTTCTTTGGGCCATTTGGACTTGGAGTTACTCCCCACAAAGATCAGCACTGAGCTTGCCCGGTGTCCTCTCTTGCCCTCCATGGAGACTTTGCCTTTCTGACAAGAAAATACAACCTCTTTATTCCTCCAGCTCACGGGGCTGCCCGGTGTGACCTGGCCAGGTCACACAGGGGCTGGCATCCTGCTGCTCCTGCCAGGAGACAGTTGGAAATGATGCCACTGTGGCCTCTCCTGAGCATGACCCATTAGGACGCTATGGTGGATGAGGCCACTCTGGACTCAGACTGCTCGCATTCAAACTGCTGGCTCCACCACTTCCCGGCTGTATAACACGGAGAGATTACTTAACGTCGCTGTGCTCTGATTCCCCCGTCTCCAGAGTGAGGATAACATTGCTGCCGACATAGGGCCCTTGAGGAAAGTAAATGAGGCTGTGCGGGTGCAGAGCTCAGCAAGATGCCTGGCACAGAGAATTTGTCCAAAACACGTGAATTATCATCATTTTTAGTCCATCATTGTTGTCATTGTTATCAGCCGTGTGTTGTCACATCTCCTCCTACCCCAAAGTTTGTACACCCCGCTGGGCCTGAACTGCAAGGTGGATGGGGGAGCTGAGCTTGGCACTGCCTTCCCACCAGCAGCTCAGGACACAGCCATGCTAGTCTTGCAGCCCTGAGATCCCCAGGTGAGTAAAAACTAGACCTCCCTCCTGGGGACTGTTTCAGCTAAGAATGTGGCAGTGACCTGCCACCACATGTGGGGCACTCGGGGCACCCTGGGGTCCACGTGGTATCTCCTGCTGGGGAAAGAGACTCACTGTGGATCTTGGGCTTGTGGGATTAGGAAAGAACAGGCAGGGAAGGAGGCTCCTATTCACTCCCCACTGCTTTCCCAACTCGCTTTTTTAAGGCCTTGCGGGTAGGCAACTGGAGCATCTCCAGCCATGAGATCCTGCCCTCCCTGGGAGAAGCACTTACAGAGCACAGCAGAAGGAGCTCGATAGGAGGCCAGCAGGCTGGGGGAAGGAAGGACTTGGGGATTAGGCATGAAACCCTGGCCATCGGAGGAGGAAGAGGGAGTATCTAGGAAATTGTCAGAGAGAAAAAGAAACTGCTTAGGAAGCCCTAGAATGGACTGTCAGCCTGCACCAGAGAGCTGTGCTGTCCATGGTGGGAGCCACTACTACATGTTGCTGCTGAGCGTGGGTACTATGGCCAGTCTGCACCGAGGTGTGCTATAGGCGTGAAAGACATGCTGGGTTTCAAAGACTTAGGACACAAAAAGAATATAATATATCTTATTACTGATCTGTAGATTGATTTTTATATAGATTATATGTGAAATGATAAATTGGGTATGTTGTGTTAATTAAAATATATCATTAAAATTAATTTCACCTGTTTTCTTTCTGCATTTTAATATAAAACCGGAAAAGATAAAATTCCCTATGTAGCTCGTAGTATATTTCTGTTGGACAGTGAATGTGAGAGAGAGAAATTAAGAGATTGTCTGGGAGCCCACATTTGCCACTCTGGACTTGTCTATCTTCCTGAGTTTCCCCATCTGTCTTAGACTACCAAAGAACCCACATGCTTGGATTTCCTTAGAAGACCCCAGAACTTCCAGCCATATGGCTCTTTGGGAAATCTTAGTGGCGGCCCCACCCAGAGGCTCAGGGCTCCTGGGCCACGTCACTCACATGCCCATCCCCTCTGGCCACCAGAGGATAGAAGTGTCCACTTGCACCCCTGAAACGAGCACCATGGGAAATCATCGAACCATATTAAATAGGAGTTCCGTTTAGCACTTAACAGAGCTTGGAATCGTGCCCTTTAGGAATTCACATCAAATGAGCTTCAGAGAGGCTGCAGGCGAATTAGGAAAGCACAGGCATCGAGTTCCTGATACAAATGAATAATTGAGCAGCCTGGAAATACCACGAAAGACTGTTTTGCACAAGACTGTACTGTGTTGGGGGGGAGGGGAGCCCCTCCCTGCCATCCTAAGGCTCTCTGTCCTTGCGTCCCCACCCCTGACAGCTCTAGCCTCTGCCTGGGCACCATGCTTTGGGCAGAGAGGGAAGCTTCAGTGTTCCCTCAGCACCTAGCTCTCTTGGGGCTGCTTAGTGAGACTTTTCTCTGCATGATGACCAGCAGGACTTCAGGCCAGGGAAGCCAGAGAGCCTGTGCCCCACTGGAGCAAAGGAATTCTGAACAAGCCTATTTACTGTAGGCAAAGCTGTGTTGCCTCTTCCTCGACTCAGATGAGAATGTTACAGCTTCAGGGGCGACTCTCAAGGCTTCTTAACCAGGCCAAACACTGTGCTGAATGCCCTAGAGTGTGACGAGGTGAAAAGCCATGGTCCCTGTCCTCACTGGAGAAATGTTCTTTGGGTGCATGGTGAAGAACCTATTGGATGTATAGGGTGTTACCAGGCCCTCCCCAGACTGTCTGGATATAGTGGTTTAGTTTTATCAGCAAAGAGTCTGGATGTGATGCCCTGAGGGCGTTAAACAGGCTTTCAGCTGTGAGGTCTGCTGGGGCCCATCTCAATGACAACAGATTTTCTCCTGTATCAGCCAAGCTAGTGCTAGAAGGCGAAAGGGGAAGTGGGGAGAGGGTGCTCAGCAGACTAGCCCTCCTCCCCGAACATGGTTGTCATGGCTCCAACCTTGGAGAAGGAGGAGGGAGACAGGGAGAGGAGCCCTCTGAGCGCCACACGAGGTGTATACCCTCTCCACTGTTCCTGGACAGCAAGCAGAGCATGCACTTCTGAGTGTGCAGGGCTGGGGTGCTGCTACGGCTTGAGGGCCAGGGTCCCCAGGGGGTTCAACCGGCTCCTTCCTGGTCTTGCTCATAGTGCTGAAAGGGCTCCGGTCACCCTCCACCTCGATGGGATTGTGCAGGTGCTGAACTGCCACCTCAGTGACATGGCCATCGGGATGATGACCAGGATCGCCGTCCTCAAGTGGCTCTACCATCTCTACATCAAGACTCCCCGGAAGGTGAGCTTCCAGGCCCAGTAGGCCCCTGTAAGCCAGGGAGCTTCTTCTAGGTGTTTTTTGAGGGCCTGCCTGTGCTTAGTAGGGTTTTGGTCGTTGCAGTTCTGGAGAAACCCTAGCAAGCAGAGGAGTGGCAGATCCCTGAAGATCCCTTGGTGTCGGGGTGGGGGGTTGGTCCCTGCAGTGGAACCCTGTCTGCAGGAACCCCATCCTGGAGCAAGGGAGAGCTCACTGGTGCCCCTGCTTCTCTGCTCTCCAGATGTTCCGGCACACGGACAGCCTCTTCCCCATCCTGCTCCAGACATTATCAGATGAATCTGATGAGGTAAGTCACCAGCACCCTTTCCTCTGTGCCCTGGCTGCCTGCCTCCCCTCCTGAATGACTGACAGGATCGTGTAGCTAAGAAGTGCTTATTTTGTTATTGCTGTTGTTCTCTTAAACCAACACCCTCAAATCACCCTATTACCTCATACCTGGTGAGGTGCATCCATTAGAGGAAAAGCTGTGTTTATTGCCCTCAGCTCTGGGAATAAGGACTCTTCCTTAATGAGCCCTTCGGAAGAGCACTCTGGGTCTGGTCATGTACAAGGAAACCAGTCCAGCAGGGAGCCTTGTCCCTGGAAGGCCGTAGAGAGGTAGTGGGGTGCCCAGTGGTAGGGTCCAGCCTGCTCAGCTGCCCATACTTGGGCACGTCACTTCCTGACTTCTCACCTCAGTTTCTTTCTCCATCCAGTGGGGCAGTAATAGTACATGAGGTTGTGAGAATGAAATGACCCACGGAAAATGCCAAGTGCTATCCCGGCACATGATAAGCACTCAGGGAGCATCAGCCAGACTCCATTTGGACCTCTAATTTGAAATTGGACCCTGAAGCTTTGATTCTGTTGGGATTACCAAGAGCTAAAGGGAGAAGATGGCCCCATCCCAGGCAGGAGGAGCCCCAGGTGGAAAACCCAGAGAGTGGGAGGGAGAGAGAGCAGGCCCTGCATCCTGCCATCTGGGGGAGGGGCTCCTCCAACCGCACAACTCTCAGCACGGGAGCATTCTGTTCTGTGGACTTCTTTTTTAAGACTCTCCTGCCTCCCAGCCAGGGGGCAGGATTTGCATCTGGGCTTTGCCATTTGCCAGGGTAGCATCCCTTCCCTCTGTACCAGCTTCAGGCTGCGTATCAGATGCTGGCGGCCCATGCTGTGACTTGCCCCTCTTTCCCTCCTCTGGGCTCCAGGCAGCTGTGGGGTCCATGAGGCAGCAGGCACAGACATCTGCAGACCTCCTAGCTGCCTAGTGGGAACACAGGAGTGGACAAGGGCTGGAGGTAAAATGGAGAGGGACATGGCTTACAGCTCCTGTAGCAGGAGCCACCTTGGTCTTTCCTGGGCTGCTACCAGGCACTGTGAGGCTTCCCTGAACCTGAGCTGAAGAGAGATGCAGACAGGCAGGTGTCCACCTCTAGGTCCTGAGGCACTCTGTACTTCCAGAAAAACCCAAAGCAGATAGTCTGGGAATCTGCCCATGTCCCCTCCTGCCTGCTCACCACGCACATGCGTGCACACACACACACCACCACCCCCTCTCTATTTCCCCCACCGCCAACGCAGCACGAGGCCCAGGTGGACACGGCCCAGTTCTGCCTGAGTTTGTAGTGACTCACTGCACAGTCATGGCCCTCATTTCAATACAAAAAGGAAGAGAAGAGCTTTGCTGATTGGCTCCTTCCCTAGGACTTCAGTGAAAGCAGCTGAGTTTTCAGTCCTTTAAATTGAGTTGTTTAATCCCATCCAGCCTTCTCTGCTCGCAATTGGTTTTTGTGTGCATGTGCATTTCAAGGGAGCTGGAGGAGATGCAGTCCATTAAACAGCTCTGTTCAGGTTGTGGCTGTGGAAACTTGATTTGCTGAAGTGCCAAATGTTGTCAGTCTTTGGGGGCACATCTCATGGGCCTCCAATGGGGAGAGGGTAGGAACTGCTCTTGGCGACAGTTACCAAGGGTTGGGGGAGCACTGCTGTAATAGGAGGGAAGAGTCCCTGCTTTCCCATCTCTCCAGGGGAGGGATTTGGGGACCTCGGTATCAGTGGGGAGTCATGATTCTGCCACGTCCTGGTTCTTCATCAGAATCACATTCCTAAGTGGCCCCTGCCCTATCTGGTGACCTTGAGGGCTTACTTGGCAATGGAAATACAGCCACAAACAAGACAAAGTCCCTCTTCTCCTGCAGCAAGCATATAGGATATATAGATCGTGCTCTCTGTTAGATTTTCCCAGTATTTCCATACCCTGCCCTGATCTCAGATTGGATATCCCTGGAGTTCAAGACCCTGAAAGACCATTCAGTCAAATCAGACTACAGCCAGACTGGTGGGGAGAGGCCCCTTCACTTCTGGAATGTAACCATGGCCCCCCGTGCAGGGCCTTCCATCCCGCCTGGGGCCCTTTGATGCACAGATATCCCATTAATAACAGCTGACTCATGTGAAGTCATTACAGTGCCAGGAACCGTGCTCAAGACCCCCTGTGGTATCTACAGAATCCTCAATAAGTCTGAGCCAAGTACTGTTATTACTTCCATTTTGCCGTTGAGAAACCAAGACCGAGGAAGGTGAAGTAACTTGCACACAGCTAGGGAGTGATGGGGCCAAACTCAAAACCAGATCTCTTTGACGACAAAGCCCTTCTTCCTAATCACTTAGCCACCATGCCTGTGTTTCACCACATGTGGCCTCAGCCACCCACATGAGAACCCGAGCTTGTGTTTAGTTGTGCTCATTTCTACCCTTTTTCCCTTGTTCCACAAGATTTTGAGAAGAGTTCTCAATCTAGTGTGGAGAGAGGTGTGTGTATTCTGGAAAAGCTCTCCCTCAGCACCTTGACCTTTTGTTCCCTTTTCTTACTGATTTATTGATCAGAGACATTCCATGTATCATCTGTGTTGCAAGTGTTTTTCTCTCCCAGTATGAGTGTGATAAACCCACATGCTCGTCACCCTTGGCAAGAGCCGCTGGCCTCAGGGGACATAGTGTGCCCAGGTGTTAATGACGCAAGCACTGGGCACAGGGAGGGGCAGAGCCTCAGAAACCTAGCACTGCCCCCACCCCATGTTCTGCAGTCCCACTGGCGTGTGGCCTCACTGTCATTGTTTCTGGGTTTCCTCCCAGTGACAGCTTGGTAGTCCACACCCCTCTGGCATCCTCAGTTGTCTCTGCTTTTCCGTTATTCAGGATAAGTGGCTGTTTCCTCAGTACTGCCTGCTCCTTGCAGACTTTATCTGAAAATCCCTTTTGTCAGAAAGAATTTGCAGGTGTCAAATTAATATTCTTGGCACCAGAGTAGAAATCCTCCCATTAACTAGAGCGCCAATTACTTGTTTTTAAGTGAAAATGTGACCCTGATTCAACAGCGTGGAATGCAGGGCACATGCTCAGAGCTTCCTGCTGGACCCTGGTGGGAGGTGGGACTGCTTCTTCCCCTGCCCGGAAGATGCCAGTTGTCGCCTGCCTCCGGAGCCTGCAGCTGCCTGGGCGGGCTCTGCCCGTGAGCCCCTGGAGGACAAGTCTTTTCCATGCTCTTAATGGAGTGGCCTGCCTGGGAGGGGCCTCAGTTACCCCCACCCCACTCCCAAGCACAACTGCCTTTTAATCTGCATTTAAAATCCTCAGCGGATAGCAATGGATATGTGTCATTATACATATGTCTAAACCCACAGAATGTACGACACCAGGAGTGAGCCCCATGTCAACTGTAGACTTTAGGGGATAGTGTTGTGTCAGTGTAGGTGCACTGATTATAACAAATGCACCTCCGTAGTGAAAGGGAGGCTGATAAGGGGAAGGCTGTGCATGTGCAGGGCAGGAGACATGTGGGAAATCTCTGTATCTTCTGTGCAACATTGCCATCACTTAAAACCTCTTTAAAAAATAAAATCTATTTTAAACAAAATAAAAAAATATGTAGAAGTTTTTGAAAGTCTCAATCTCAGAAGAGAGAGCTGGAAGGACGTCTGGTGCCTGCTCCAAGGGAGCACAGCATCCCAGACATCAGGTCACCAGACCTGAGCTTGAATCTCCAAGAGCTCTGACCCATCCTTACCAGGGACCCCGGACAGGAGCCTAACCTCTCTGACCTATGCGAAGGATGAGTGATGCCTGCACGTGCCTCAGAGACTGCTATTTAAAGGGGCTTTATAAAGCTCCCAACCTGATCCTGGCCCATAGTAACAACCTGTCTGTCGTCCCAAGGTCTTTAGGGGGAAATTGGCATTTTGCCGGGTTGAGCTTTCCCGCCTAGGAGCAGGCCTCACCCCCATTTAAGTCATCTTGTAACACTTCGGGGTCTTTCTTTGTTGGTCTTATTATTATGAAGTTTGCTTTTGGTGTTTAATATTTTGTTGTGACTTTGAGTGGCATCCCTTTCCAGTAAGGTTTTCTCCCGGAGTGACAGTGTGGTCTTGTGGCGGAACTTCTAGGAGTCCAGTCCTGGACTCAGCAATTGGTTGACCTTGAGCAAATGACCTAGCTTCTCTAAGCCCCAGTTTCCATATCTGAAAACCAAAAATAATAGTGGAATCCCAGCTCCCAGGTTTGTTGTGTGGATTAAATGAGACCATGAGTATCAAGTGCTCAGCATAGGACACAGCACAACTAAACATGTGGTAAACATTAGCTCCTCTGATGCTGGATATGATTTCTGTAAAATTGTAGAGACACACACTGAAATCAGGAAGATGGGCTCTGTGTTTGTCCCACATCCTTCCTGCGTACAAGGGAGTTAGTGAGTCTAAGAAGTGATCAGGAACATCTAACAAAGGTGCTGAAAGTCTACCATGGAAGCCGGGATGGCGTGCTGCCTTATCCAAGCCAGCCCTCTCCAGTCTAGATGCATCTCTCTGAGCATTTGACTTTGACCTGCCCTCTTGGGCTGCCCCTGGTATGCTCACCTAGAATGAGTGTGGCCAGTGACTAGGATGGCCTTGGAGTGGTTTGGAAAGCAGCCAAGGTGAGGAACAGGAGGACAGGCCCCTGCTCCACACTGCCTCCCTCTCCTTGCTACCGGGCAAGTCCACAGCATCGCTCACCTCAGTTTTCTTCCCTAAAATGCGGTTGGAATGGATCTTGTTAGTCCCTTCCAGCTCTGACTTTGTGTGGTCCTAACTCCACTGCCTGGAATACTAATGAGGCCCGCTCAAAAGTGGACAGTCTTCTGTAAGAATGGGGCTTGTTTTTCCCTCTCATATCCTTGCCTCAGTTTTTATTTCACTCCAATTTTCATTCCATCCACTCTCCAAAACAAACAAAAACACCCCCCTCCACTTCAATTCCGAAGATTTCTTT